CCCCCCTCCTTCCCCAGTGGGTAAATGTGAGACCCTAGGATCATTAACAAGACCCTTCCATCTATGAAGAGTATTTGATTCTACCATATCTGGGTCTTGAGAAGAAGATTTTTGAAATTTCAGTCAATTTGACCCTTTTTGGCCCCGCCCAGCTCGGGCCCCTGGGGGCTGGGGACCAAACCAGCCACTATTTATGTTGACCTTTGGCCATGGAAGGTTTCTGCGAAATTTCACTGAAATTGGTTAAAGGGTTTTGGAGAAGATGTCGAAAATGTAAATTGTTTACGGACTGACGACGTAAAATAAGTATGTAAATTCTACTTTCAGTTTTAAATAACTTCCGAGCATATTCCTAAGAACTATCTTTATCCTACATCCTACACTTGTAGCTAACAATATCATAATGTTACAGTCAAAAGGATGAAAGAAGTGATATGAATAGTCATGATTTACCTATTTTGCAACGAGAAGTTGCGTTACATTTTGTCCCATAAGCGTAAAACATTTTGCCGCGCAATGTCAATTACGATCATGTGACAATCACATGCCTCGCAAGTTGTGCAGTGGGATCAACTTGTAAAGAAACAATAACAATTAAAAACACAAAATATTCCCTTTTTAACAATAATCAAATATTATATTTAACGAAAATGGTGTAAATTGTAAAAGAAGCAGCCGTCGTCAGTTGTTTACGACAATAACGTTAACTTGGGATCAATTTCTGGCACCATGCTGTCAGGACGGTATGTTCCGATTTTGACACTTTTTCAATGGAGACACGGGGAGATCAACTTCTAATGCAATAGAGAAGCTATTGCTTAAATTATTAAAAACACACGTCTTCCTTCAGAAGTAATATTTTCATTGAAATCGGCATGATTTTCTCACATGACGTGTCAAGGTAACCGAGAACATGCACGCTCGTTTTCTTATCAGAATTTGTGTTAGAAATGTCTGTAGGCCTAATTATTCCAATTTTAGATAGCAATTAACTGCATCACATATTTTGTTAATACTTAAATGTATGACCAGCAAGCGATCTATTGTTTTCTGCGGAATCGGGTGAAGCGAGGTGTGAAAAATTTACCTCGAATGGACAGGTGATCACATCGGGCGATGAACAGTTAGCCGGACCTATTGCTCAATTGTCCAGGTGTTTCACACAAACAACTTACCTTATAAAATTGATTCACGGCAGAAAACATTTCATTATAAGCGGGGTGCCACCTTTGACCATATCATAATAAACGATATTGTTTTGCTTAGTCAAAGAAGGAAAAAATCGGTACATGGGAAAAATAACATAATAACCGATATATCATAATAAGTGGGTTCCAATGTACATTGTACTATATCATTACATGACTAACCTTGTTCTTTCACAGATGCTCGAGTTGAAATCATTGTTCTTTCTGTAATAATTTTACTTGTGAAATCCATGAACTCTTTAACACTAAAGTAAAAGAAATAAAAAAGGAAAAAATATTAGCACATTTTTTTGCAAATAGTAAATATAAATTTAAATATGTTCAGTACAAAATGTACTAGTTTTGATGAAAATCATGAATTTTCAAAAATTTGCATGCATAAAACAATTTGAAAATATGTTTGAACAAGAGGCCCAGAGGGCCTGTATCGCTCACCTGTTTCTTTTATTACATGAAACTGACATAAAGGAAACTTAAGACCAAATTTGGTAACTAGAACACAAGACATTTTAACATCTCTTAAACGGCTCTGAAGATATTGTTGTTTGAAACTTTATTTTAATTTTGAAGCTTTTAACCCACATTGACCTTTGACTCCCAACTTGCACTTAAAGTTGACCTTTGACCTCATTTCTGTAATAAAGAAAACAATTCACACAGCTGGTCTACACAACATACCCAAGTACATGTATCATGACTCTAGTCCAAGTGGTTCTTAGGATATTGCTGTTTGAAACTTTTAACATATATTTGACATTTTAATCAGGAAACCTTATAGCACTTCATCCCAGGTACCTACTGGCCAAATATCATGACCCTGGGCCTAATTAATGGAAATTGAAAAGAAGATTGTTAAAGCTTTTAACCCATGTTGACATTTGACCCCTGAATAGCATTTAAAGCTGACCTTTGACCTCATTACTGTAATTGAGAAAAAAAATTCGCATTGCTGGTCTGCAAAACATACCCAAGTATCATGACTCTAGTCAAAATGGTTCTTAGGATATTGTTGTTTGAAGTTTTTAACATATTTGACCCCTGTGACCTTGAATATGGGTGAAGGTCATTTATTTAAACAAAATTTAAAGCCCTTCATCTCAGCATACTACTGGCCAAATATCATCACCCTGGGCATTTTGGTTATTCAGAAGAAGTTGTTTAAAGGTTTTTTAACACAATTGACCACTGTGACCTTAAATATAATTGAAGGTCATTCATTTGAACAAACTTGGTAGCCCTTCACCCAAGCATGCTACTGGCCAAATATCATCTCCCTGGGCAGTTTGGTTATCGAGAAGATGTTTCAAGTTTTTAACATATTTGACCCATGTGACCTTGAAAATGGGTGAAGGTAATTAATTTTAACAAACTTTGTAGCCCTTCATCCAAGTTTGCTTCTAGCCAAATATCGACACCCTAGGCCTTTCGGTTATTAAGAAGAAGTTGTTTAAAGTAAAATATTGACGCCGGACGCCTGAGCTAAAAATTAAAGTCCCAGAATTATTTTTGAAGTATATTCATGAGTGATATGAAAGCCATCTGAATTTTGTTGGGTGATACAGTGGCAATGTCAGTATAACAATACATTATAATTATTTATCAAAAACATTATCAATTTACATTTTTGGTAAAAATTTATGAATAGAAACCAATGATGTTTTGGAGCTAATTAGTGACATAACATTAACTTAGTTGTGATGTGAAAATATACTGAAGACAAATTCAATGCATATTGTAAGCTGCATTTACCAAACTGTTGCACCACATAATTAAAGATTTTTATACCTGGATCGTTGAAAATAACCAAATGAGCCGAGTTCATGGCTAGCACTGAGTGGATTAACTTTTCCATCTGTGTTTTTATAAAGCACTTGTAGACAATACAGCTTCATGTCTGGAGGTCAGAAAACGTTGCTTTCTCTTGGTCAACAGATGCCCTGTACAACAAAAGACAACTATATGAATATATTGCATAAATTCTTTCAGCTCGACATCCAGGGCAACTAGATTTTGTAACTAATATATAAGACAGTAAACATTTCCTTATCGTGAAAGGTGCTACTCTTTTTTGTAAAACTGCCTGATGACTATAGTACTAAAATACGATAAAATGAAATTGCTTACCATTGATAGAAGTAAAATTTTAATCTTTTATTTTTTTTATTTTTTATATTTATTTTTTTTCAAAGTATTTTTCACATTACAATAACATATATATACATTTCATTATACATAATGAATTCCACTTTCACACATACTTTCATACTAATTAATATTGCTCTTTTTTTAAGTGGCATTTTATGTTTTGTAATGTTATTATATTAGAAACGAAGGAAAAATAGATAAAAGAAACAAGAAAAACAACGAAATAAAAGAAAGAAATAATAATAATAAAAATATACAACATTAATATATAGCACCCTATTTAATTTGTAAAATGACTCTAAAGCACTTTACAACATATGGATAATATGTAATAGTTATAATTGTGAAACAAAAACAAAAGCTTACAATCACTTTTATACATTTAAGCAAGCAATGTGTACATAATTGACAAACTCACCTGGATACCTGCATATCTGTATTAGATTTTTCATGCCCAGCAATTGTATGTATGGTATGGGGTGGGGATCTCAACTGTTTCCAAGCTTTGACTCAGAAACTAGGGCCCTAGGATTGTGGTCAGCCCCCAGGATCAATTCTAATATCGTGACTGCATTTGTCTCTTTTTGCCCAGCATTTGTATACATAGTTTTGGGGTGGGGATCTCAACCTTTTCAAAGTTATGACCCAGGGGTTAAGTCTGCAAGGGTGGGGCAGACTCTGGGGTCAATTCTAATATCATGACTGCATGCATCTTTTTATGCCCAACAATTGTATATATAGTTTTGGGGTGGGGATCTCAACAGTTTTAAAGTTATGGCCCAGGGACTATGTCTCCAAGGGTGGGGCCAGACCCTATAGCCGTCCTGGAGGCAAATGTACATTCTTCTCTTTATACTAAGCAATTGTATACCATGGTTATATGGTGGGGATCTCAACCATTTCCAAGTAAAACACTTTTTTTGGCCCCACCCCTTAGCCCGGGGGGGTCAGCCCCACCATCTGTACAATTTTGAATCCCTGCCTCCAATGAATACTTCCGACCAAATATGATCAATATCCATGGCATAGTTCTACAGAAGAAGTCGTTTATAGCAATATAGCGGAATTGCCCCCTTTTTGGCCCCGCCCTCAGCCCCACCATTTGTACAATTTTGAATCCCCACCAGCTAGGAATGCTTCCAGTCAAATGTGGTTGATATCCACTTCTTAGTTCCAGAGAAGAAGTCGCTTAAAGCAATATTGCAATATTGACCCCTTTTTGCCCTGCCTCTCAGCCCCCTGGGGGGTCAGCTCCATCATTTGTACAATTTTGAATCCCTGACACCTACGGATGCTTCCAGTCAAATATGGTTGATATCCATCTCTCAGTTCCAGAGAAGTCGCTGAAAGCAGTATAGCCAAATTGTCCCCTTTTTACCCCGCCCCTCGGCCCCTCGGGGGGTCAGTCCTATCATTTGTACAATTTTGAATCCCCACCACCTAGGGATGCTTCCAGTCAAATATAGTTGATTATATCCACTTCTTAGTTCCAGAGAAGTAGTTGCTTTAAGCAATATTGCCAAATTGATCCCTTTTTGCCCCGTCCCTCAGCCCCCTGTGGGGGTCAACCAAATCACTTGTACAATTTTGAATCCCCACCACCTAGAAATTCTTCCAGTCAAATATGGTTGATATCCACTTCTTAGTTCCAGAGAAGAAGTCGCTTAAAGCAATATAGCCAAATTGACCCCTTATGGCCCCGCCCCTCAGCCCCCTGGGGGGTCGGCCCCACCATTTGTACAATTTTGAATCCTCATCACCTAGGGATGCTTCCAGTCAAATTTAGTTGAATTCCAATCAGTGGTTAAGAAGAAGAAGTCGTTTATAGAAATTGTTTACGTACGGACGTACGGACGCAACGGTATGGCATAAGCTCACCTTGGTCCTTCGAACCAGGTGAGCTAATAAAGGGGTGGTATTTAAATATACATGACGTCTTTGCAGAGATCCTAAAATGCAGATGTTAAGAGGTGAGTTTTGATGTCCCTCTTGAATTTGGCCAGGGTATTTTACTTTCTAATAGCAGATGGTAATTATATAAGGTATTCCACAACGTGGCCGAAACCCTCTGCAAGTACCGGTTTTCATAGGTCACAGTACGAGATTTTGGGACACAGAACAAAGATTCTGACTCAGTGAACATGACGGCTGATACAGGGTAACAAGCTCCTGTAGGTACTGAGGAGCTGTTCCATTCAGTGCCTTGTATGTGTACACCAAAATTTTGTACTTCTACCTATATCGTACAGGTAACCAGTGCAATGAATAAGCACAGGTGATGTGCTCTCTCTTTTGAGTACGAGTAAACAGCCGTACTGCAGTGTTCTTGACCCTCTGCAGACGACTAGTTAGTTTGTCGGATAAACCACAGAGCTGAGGGCATTACCATAATCCAGCCGGGAGGTAACAAGTGAATGCACGAAAATCTTGCATGCATCTTCATGATCAGTTATAAACTGCCGAATACAGCCGATGTTCCTGATCTGGTAGTAACAGGATTTGGCAATAGCGTTCACTTGTTTCTCCATGTTCAGTGAACTATCAAAGTATACCCCTAGGTTTTTAACAGCTGGGACAGTCTCAATAGTTCTGGCACCGACCTTGAGCTGGAGAGTCATTGTTTGCTGACACTTTGTGTGTCATCAGCATAGCAATGATAGCAATGATAGCAAAGACAATGGTGACGACAAATCTCTCCAATCGGTTTGGAGTACAGGCAATATTTTTGTGGTCCTAACACCGACCCTTGAGGAACCCTGAAATCTAGTACTTTGTCATGTGAGGTGGTTGATCTGATGGCAACACACTGTCGTCTTTCACTCAGATAAGACTGTATCCAGCATAGTGCTGTATCAGTCACTCCATAAGAGTATTCCAGACGTTTATAAAGTATGCCATGGTCGATGACGTCAAATGCAGCTGGCTAGTCCAGCATGACAAGCACTGCTCTGCACTTGTTATCCAATGCAGAAGCTATGTTATTATGCATAAGTAGGAGGGCCGTCTCAGTAGAGTGTCCCATGCGATAGACTGATTGCATGTTGTCATGGAGACTGTTTGCATGGAGATGACCTCTAAATGCCGGGACACAACCTTTTTCAAGATCTTAGAAAGAAAAGGCAGATTTGAAACTGGGCAGTTGTTCTTCAACTCCTCCTTTTCCATTCCAGGCCTCTTTAACAAATGGTCTGACATGTGCCTTCTTGAAACACAATGGAACCTTTGACTCAGCCGATGATTTGTTCATGATTGAGACAATTTAAAGGAAGCAGTGCTTCAAGACATTACTTTAATAGGTCTGTAGGCAGAGAATCAAGCTTACAGGACTTTAATTGCGAGGACATGATGATATTGCACAACTCGTTCTGCCAATGGTTCCCCATCAAATTCAATGTCAGCAGTCATGACAGAGATATCATTGTCAGCAGAAGAGTTGATTGAGCTGATTTTATTCAGAAAGTAATTACTGAACTTGTTTGATAAGTCTTTTTCAGAATTACAGCTTGGTAGTATAATTTCACCTTCCTGGCCCATAAGGTTTTTGGTGAGTCTAAAAAGCTGTCTATGATCGTTCCTTACCACATTCTTCGATTCTTTCCGAATATTAAGCCTTCTTTGACTGAATTAGAAGTGAACCAACTAGCCGACATTGTTCCCTATAAATCTGTTGGTGAACGGTTAATTTGGTCCGTCGCCACTGTCTCTCTGCTTTTCTATGGTTCTGTTTTTCTATGCAGAGATTTTAATTATACCACGGGGCATTAGGTCTCACAATTAACGCCTTAGTCTGCAGAGGTGCGTGTTTCTCAATAAGGGCTTCTATACCAGATGTGTATGCTTCAACAAGATCATCAACCCTGTCTTTAGTAGATTGAAGGGCAGAAGAAGACTGGATCTAATGGCAAACTTTTCCAATTCCTCGTTTCGTTCCATTTGGGTTTTAATTCCTGGGGAATTTTCCCCCCAATACTTTTCTGTAATATTATTTACTTATCTGTTGATTATTTTACTGCTTTTGCTTTAATTTTTCTGTCTATTCTTGATTCTACTAGGCTCTTGAATCGCTCAGGAGTTTCGTCTTGCCAGCTCTTAAATCGCTTAAGTCTGGTGGTCAGTTTGCCTCTCTTGAATCGCTCAAGGCAAA